CTGGACTTAATGTCAGGGGAGTGGAGCATATACTGCTGGTGAAACAAAGACTAAGAGAGGTGCAGTTATATGCTAAACTCTCAAAGTGTGAGTTCCACAAAGAATGATTAGACTTCCTGGAATATTGTATCTCCCATGAGGGAATGAAAATGGACCCTAACAACGTGCAGGATGCGTTGGATTGAGAGGCACCCCGAACCAGGATGCGATTGCAATTTTTATTGGGGTTTCCCAATTTTACAGGCAATTTATCAAAGACTTTGCCAAGTTAGCAGCCCCGCTTACAGACCTATTGAAAACCAAGGGGAAAGGAAAAGTCAGCTAAAGTTCAGTCCCTGGGAGCCAATTTGCAATGGACTAGGGAGTGCCAGGTAGCTTTTGATAAATTAAAAACTTTGTTCACCCAGCAACCTATCTTGGCACATCCCAACCTGGAGCTTCCTTTTGTGATTCATAGTGATACCTCCAACACAGCCTATGGGGCAATGCTGTTTCAGAATCATCCAGGGAAGGGACTAGTACTGTACACCTACTTGTCAAAAAAGTTCTCTAAAACAGAGAGAAAGTCGCCAGATAGATGTGCCCAAAAATTGCAAACCCTCTTCATTTTGCTTTTCTGCTCTTCCATATACTGTCCAAATAAAACAGTGTGCCATTTCATATTTGTTGCCACACTTAAGCCTCTTTAGTTTCCATAGAGAATACTAAATTAAGGCCACACTCTTTTGAAATGGAAGTAGAAACCACTGAAGTCTGTGGGAGTTACTTATTAGTAAACATGCAAAGGATTATGCTGTATGACTCACAGATCTTGTTAGTCAGCATTGCTACAATTACTTATTTGATAATGAACTTAATAGTTCTGGTTCCAAACAAGCGTTTGGGGGATTGTGGCCTTAGTTATTCAAAATTCACAATTTCTCTGCAGAACATTTTGAGGACTGCTGTGTATAACAAATGCCTTTCTTTGTAACATGCTGTGAGAAAACAAAACAAAGAATATACTTGAGAGAATGAAATTGCTAATTAAAACATAGAATACATAATGCTAATTAACTTTTCTTGTGTTATTTGTGTGGCATCATTTATAGGTGATGCCACACAAATAGCTGCAGTGACATTATTATTGTATTATTATTATTGTTATTACATGACTCAAGGTGGCTAACAATTCTTAAATAATACATTATCTTTTTGAAAGTTAGTGGGTTGTTGTGAGTTTTCTAGACTGTATGGCCGTGTCCCAGAAGCAATCTCTCCTGACGTTTTGCAGGCATCCTCAGAGGTTGTGAAGTCTGTTGGAAACTAGGAAACAGGGGGTTTATATATCTGTGGAATGTCCAGTGTGGGAAAAAGAATTCGTGACTGTTTGAGATAGGGGTGAATGTTTCAATTAGCCTACCTCAAACAGACAAAAGTTCTCTCTCCCACCCTGGCAGCCAAGCCCTTGATTATCTAGAATTACTACCTTTGTCATTTGAGTCTTGCACCCTTTGTCTCACACTGAACTGGACACTTGATTTAATCAGAGACTCATGAGCATATCCATGCCGCCTCTTCCTTGAGGTTTGTGCCCTTCCATTGGGCATCTCGGTAACAGATTGGTCTCCAAACTCTCCAACCATCAGCTGTCTTTCTTCCTGCCAAAGGAATCCCCTCCTGCAGGCCGTGACATAAGGAGAAATCCCGGCCAATCTCAGGACAGATCCTAGCTGGCCTCTTTTTTTAGCCAATCGGGGAGGCAGCAGAAAGTCTGAATAGCTGTCAGAACTGCATAAAACATCATTTATTTATTTATTTATTTATTTATTTATTTATTTAGAACGTTTATATCCCATTCTTCTCTACCTCCATGAAGAGACTCAGAATGGCTAACAGCAAACATTCAATGCTAAACAATAACATTCTAAATATAAAATAATACGTATTTATTTATTTATTTGCAGCATTTATATACTGCTTTTCTCACCCCGAGGGGGACTCAAAGCGGTTTACACATTGATAATGGCAAAAATTCAATGCCTTACAACTACAACAGTAAAACCACACTTTAAACATAAATCATATTAAAAACAGTACATCATCAAATAACAAAACAGTTATTAAAACGATAAAACAATCCCATCAGTCAAGTTGCCATTCCAGTCCTTGTCCCATTAAAAGCTGCATATAAGTTAAAATACATATAAAACCATTCGCCAAGATAAAAACATTGTCCAACTCAGTCCGCATATTGTGGTCGAATAATTTTTAGTCTTTACCAGTTTCAGCTATCACTCTGCAAATGCCTGATTCTAAAGTCAGGATTGTATGTATTTTCTCTGTGAATGTGTGCTTGTACTTGCATCCTATTTGGCCAAATTGTAAAACCTGGAGTGCTTGTTCTCAATCTGGGTTGATCTGGTTTAGCAGGAGCTCACTGGGCAAAGACCTCCTTATTCGTGGTCCTAGCTGAAATCTCTACAATAAGAAAATGAATTCATGTTTGTTGAGTCCCCTCTTCCTCAGGAGTGGCATACTCTCAACCTTAATTGAATAAGTGAACCTCCTGAGCTCATTCCAGTGACAAAGGAGATCCTCTGTCTTTCATATATACACAAAAGTTTTGATATTATCTGACTTAGCTGGAGGGATCTTGGCCATGATCTCTGTTCCCAGGAGATTCGGTAAACTGAGGGCAGAGGAAGGTAACTGCCTTCAAAATATATTCTGATACATTTTATACATTTAAGAATTAACACAATATACAAATGATACAAGTTACCTTCCATAAAATATCAAATTGATATATTTATTGAAGAGTTAGAATTGATAGAGTTTTTATGGTACAGTTGCTGCTAGGTCCATCCCGGAACCTCTAGCCACTTTGACATTTTGCAACTGTTTTTAATGATCTTAAATGTTTTTTAAAAAAATTAAGAAAATGTCATATATCTTGACTAGAATCTTTTTGGGGAGGAGGGTGCTGTGGCTCTACAACATTATTATACATAATTGCATAGTAAATGGTGTCCCTTAAACAATATAAAATAGCAAACAACTCAAACACATCCCAGAGACAGCCCGAGAATCTATGGTTTGCTTTTTTGAATCCCCCCAAATGTTTTCAAGCTATGGTTTGTTGAATCCATGGTTGCGGAATGCCAGTTGCATTAAACTTCTTTGTGTGTGTGTGTATGCATGCCTTCAAGTCATCTGAAAGCTTATGACAATATCATAAATTTCATAGGGTTTTCTTAGGCAAGGAATACTTTGACATGTTTTTTTTTCAGTTTCTTCTTAAATATAGCCTAAAGCACTTGGCATTCATTGATAGTCTCCCATCCAAACACTAATCAGGGATTACCCTGTTTAGCTCCTAAGATCAGGTGGAATCAGGTGTCTTTTCGGTATTAAGTATTGTTGTTGTTAACTGCCATCAGGTTGAGTTTAACAAGTCTATGAATGATACTTCCAAATCACATTGTCATCAATAGCTTTGCTCAGGTCTTGCAGAATTAGGGTCATGGTTTTCTTGATTTAATCTATGCCATTCTCTCTTCCTACTGCTTTTTATATTCCTAAGCATTATTTCACCACACACCTTTATTTCTTTTTTCTCTTCCTACTCATGCACTCCTCTATTTGATGCGTGCATAAGTCTGTGAGTTAATCATTTTTTAAATGTAGTACAGTAAATGCAATAGTCACTTTCTGTATTAAGGGATATTGATCTAATAAATGGAGGTGTCTGATCTCATGCAGTTATACAATCATAATTCTATTTCAAGTATTATTATAGACATGTTGTTATCTGAATGGATTGTAGCAAAGATTTCAAAGAAACCAAAAGACATATTCAAAAAATACTCTCACAATAGGTATTAAAAGTAGGTACTGTTTCAATATCTGGGCGGAGGTCAGCAGGGGCGCTAGAGACAGAGAAATAGTCCATTTTATGGGGTGGATAGTGGGTTGAAGGAGTTAAACAATTTCTCTCTTTTTTCCTGTTATTCCCCCCACCCATGTCCCCATCATGGAAGCAACCCTGGTTTATGCTATGGGGAAGGGGGGGGGGTGAAAATTGGGGGGAGGGGTGTCCTCCTTCAACTCCCCTTCCCCATAAAATGAACTATTTGTCTCTCTCTAGCGCCATCTGCCAGTTTCTGAAGTTGCTCCTGACACAAGAAAAGCACTGCCTGGTGGCCTCAGCCCGGATAATGGAAAAGTATCTAAAAGTATTAGGGATCCAAAATTCATTTACTTGTAGTGATTATTGGTTGTATCATCCTGTTGTATTCTTTTGAAATCAATAACAGAAAAGAGATGAAAAGTATGCTTGGTGAAAAAGAAATGACATGACTGATAGACTAACAAAAGTGTTTTTAGCAGGATCATTTTTACAGCCCTGAGTAAAAATAAAAGCATAGCTTGGAAAACATATGTTTGGATCACTCCCAGAATGTTTCAGTAAGCAAGACCAGTGTCTATGTTGGCTTGGGGGGCGGGGGGGGGGGGGGGGGGGGGGGGGGGGGGCTGGTGCGTTCTATGAATTGCCTTCCCAAAGTTGAACCATTCAGCATGAAAGTGTACTACCTCCAGAAGGCAGAATATTAGAAAGTGACCAGAGCTCAAAGATGAGACTTGTGCTTCATATGATGGACCGATCTCTGGTTATTGGATAAGTTAGCAAATAATGGGAACAATTTATCTCTGAGACCCAGTGGAAGTGCTCCCAGTTACAGCAGAAAATAAAGGATTTCATGGCCTCTCTTGGTTAATGGCAGTTTCTTATGTTACTGGATATAACTAAGCTAGAGCCTATTGAAACATCTTTCAGTACTATTTTATAATCATTATTGATTTTGAAGAGGTGAAGATGAAAAAAAACCCAGCTAACATGGTAGCTGTTACAGATAAAGAGGTTGCCTGAAATATTAGATAACATTTAACATTTAATAATAATAATAATAATAATAATAATAATAATAATAATTTATTCTGTATTTTCTCCTTCACAGGTTATGGTTTTGTAGATTTTGACAGTCCAGCAGCAGCACAGAAAGCAGTAGCATCTCTTAAAGCAAATGGAGTGCAAGCCCAGATGGCAAAGGTAAGACTGACCAGTAAACAATGTTTCATTCATTACTTCTTGTGGTATTTCTCTCCGATACTTGAGTTGTAAGGGAGTTCCAATTTCTTGCTCTTTTGTAAGTTATGATCCCTTGGTATCTGGTTTTATTTAGTTGAACGAATTTGGTTTTGTTGGCTCTGCTGATTTATTTTTTCCTTGGTTTAGTGGTGTTATGATGGCTGCAGTCCTAAATGCCAGCCAAATATGTGTCTGTCTGTAAATTCCCAACTTTTTAAAGAATCTGCTTTAAAGAAATTTTTATTGTTTGAAGGGCAGAATTAAGAAAAGGTTTTCAAATTTGTCAAAAGCTGCTTCAACACTAATGTTCAAGCACTAAAGATGACAATGGGGTGAGGTGCTGAAAAGAAAAGTAAGTTACCTGTGCTGCGAGATGAGATGTGGGGACTCTCTGTGTCCTGGACCAGAGGGCTTATTAAACACTTTTATCATTCTAACAAATGACTTAGCAAACACATACTGTATGTTGTACGAGGGAGGTTGTTTGTAATGATGTCTTTGGCTAAAACAGAGTGAACCAATTACAAAATAGATAAGAGGGTTTAACTGATTTCCCTTTGATTGTTTCAGTTGAATATAGTCCTTTTGTACTTTATGGAAGATAGGGGAACATAAATTTTAACAAGTGGGATATCCCTGAAGTCAAATATGAATTATAAATTTGAATTTTTTGGACCTCATTTATCGATAACTTGTTTGTTGAAATCTAATTATCCATGGGGAACATTTAGATTGCCTGTAATGTAGTTATCATATATCAACTATACAGCCAACTGCTTCTTTTGAACAAATCAGTTTCTGGAGAGTCCTGTGTGTGTTGACATGACTGCAGTAAAAATAGGAGAGTGAGACTAGCCTATTTAAATTTTTAGCATCTTTCTGTGTCATATTTGTTCTGTTAAGTGTTCAGTATCCTGTCACTCCTTTTTTTCAGAATTTTAGTATTTATAAACAACTAGCCACACATTGCTGTGGCCCAGTCTGGTGATCTGGGAAATAAAGCAATGAGAAAATGTTGGTTTCTAATATATGTAATTTCTTTATGCTTGTAGGTAAACAGTATTTTTGTTGTTTCTTTGTCAGTGTTGATGTAGAGATAGTTTGGTTTGTCTACTCTGGAACATCCAACATATAATTGTCCTTCTTTAGAGGTCCCTTTCAAATCTATGATAGTATATCTGTCATATACATATGTGTGTGTATGTGTGTGAGTGTGTGTATCATATATCTATCTATCTATATCTATGGCTGGATGGCTCTTTGTCAGGAGGTTTTTGATTATGTTTTCTTGCCCTGGTGAAGGGAGTTGGACTGGATGGCCTTAAGGCAACATTTCTCCCAGTAACTACAAGTCCCAAATGTCAAGGTTTATTTTCCCATCTGTGTTCATATTTGGGCTCCATCTGTGTTCCTATTTGGGCATATGGAGTATTTGTGCCAAGTTTGGTCCAGATCCTTCATTGTTCCATAGTGTTCTCCGGATGTAAGTACAACTCCAAAACTCAAGGTCAGTGCCCACCAAACCCTTCTAGTGTTTTCTGTTGGTCATGGGAGTCCTGTGTGCCAAGTTTGGTTCAACTCCATCGTTGGTGGAGTTCAGAATGCTCTTTGATTGTAAGTTAACTATAAATCCCAGCAACTACAGCTCCCAAATGACAAAATCATTTTTTAGTGATTGTCACTCCTTGGGTTAGTAGGTGTCCTGTGGCCAAATTTGGTGGCAATTAGTCCATTTTTTGAGTTATGATGTCACTCAAAACAAACAGAGCATTTATATATAGATAGATTTACAAAGAAAGATTTGTTCAAACCTTTGCTAAGGATTGCTCTGGTTTTGAATAAGAAACTGTCGTACATAACCAGATTTGTTGTCTACACTGGAGTTATAATCATGGACTCAGATGGTGACATTGGTATAAATCCTTAATTGCATAACATGGAAGTTACTTTTTAAATATGTTACGAGGTATTTGGCATCTGCCAACAAATTATGAGACTTCTAGCCATCTACTTCAAAGTACCTGTAAATATAAAAATACAATCTCAGCTCTGATATATTCTGATATGTGCTTCATGTTGTTGTGTATCTTGGGAGAATATTTTCAAGATATATATATATTTAAATCTAATATTCAGGAAATTATTGTTAAAGACTTAATGGTGAAGAATCTAGTTAATAGGAAATATTATTATTACTATTGATAAGATTGTTATGGAAATTATTTTATACTATAGAATATTCTAAAGCTTCTGGAAAGTGACCTTTATCCTTAGACGTCTTGTGTGTGTGTGTGTGCACACGTGTGTGAGAGAGATATTTATAGATATTTAAATTGATTGTATCAGAGATGGGCAGCTTACTTGATAGGATAGTTTGTCCTGGTTATCTAATACTTTGAATTGGCATCCCGGCATGCCCTGTGTATCTCTGCAACATATTGTATGTGCCACTGCAAGAAGAATGTTGTACATTGAAGGGGATCCTCGTACAGCAGAGTATACTCATATCACTTAGGAAAAAAAACTGCCTTGAGTCCAATTTGGAGAAAGGCAATACAGATTGATTAGGTCTTATCCAGAATTCCAAAAACCCAGAATGTTCCAAAATCTGAAACTCTTAGATGCTACAACATCTGTGTACAGGCGTTGAATTTGTATGGGACTGGAGAGAGCGAGAGAGAGCGAGAGTTGGACAGAGATGTGGTTGGAGGGAGACATAAAAATCTGTGAAATGGTAGGGATTCATACCTCCCTCTATTTTACAGATTCTTGTGTCTCTCTCCAGCTGAAGCAGGAATGTTGAAGCCACCACCTCAAACATGGAATCAGGGACTGGCAGTGGAAGCAGAGGGAAGAGGAGAAGGATGATGGAGGAGCAGCACCAATAGCAGCAGTTACTTCCATAGTAGCACCGCTTGTACAAAGTTTGACATATCTTCTCTCTCCCACTTTTCTCCTCTCTCTGATGGTGGGAATCCTGAGGAATATGTGACTGGTGGCCCAGGGTTAATGCCGCATTTGTTGCTGCCATACGCCATTTTATGTACAGATATGTATACAGTTTATCAAAATCTGAAAAAATAAAATCTGAAATATGGAACATTTCTGGTCCTAAGCATTTCAGGTAACGGGCACTCAGTCGTTATATAAAATAAACAAATACTCAAAATGAGTGAGAAATGACTGCAGAAAAAATATCTTAGTGATATTTCTTCTAATCACTTGAATAGGTGCAAATCCATGTATCTTACAGAACAAGCATCCTCTGAAGTGTGATATCTGTTTATTTAGAAACAGTCAATACAGTGTCACCTAGCCAGTTCTGACTATAAATTCCATATGCCCAGCCAGTGTGATCAGTGATAAAAGATTATGTGACTATCCTTAGGGCATCAGGTTGCCTGCCCCTGTGCTAACTGATGCACTTGAATGGCAATCCCTTTTCTGATACCATTGTCTCTTGTTTCTTAGAAATCTTTTCCCTAGAAAACTTTTAAACTTTTGCAAAGGTTGCTTATAGAGATGAGTCATAAGGGGGTGAATTAGCTGAATGATTATGCCAGCAAGGATCAGGATCTCAATGCAGAAAGCATGAAATATTGATGCAATTTGGAATTCCTGTAGTTTCTTCAGTTGAAAATCCCACGTTGCATACTCCCAATATTAATTAAGTCTCAAAAGGTCACTGTAAACCAGGCTTCAGCAAGGATTATCTACATATCAAAAATCTACATTTCAAAAATGGTGTCAAAATGAGAATGAGAGAGGATTAAAGTTGTGTGTGCCCCCTGATTAAAGGGCACATGGCTATGAGTAACTGAACAGCAGTGAGTGTCATTGAAGAAGAATTCAAACCCTTCAACCATGCTGGACCTGTTTCCCTATTGCTCGTTACCTTATTTGTCATTGCTGTCCTATATGCTTTGGCATTTATAGAATAGAGGAGCGGCTTAAAGAGCTGGGCATATTTAGTGTGCAGAAGAGAAAACTGAGAGGAGACATGATAGCCATGTATAAATATGTGAGGGGAAGTCTCAGGGTGGAGGGAGCAAGCTTGTTTTCTGCTGCCCTGGAGACTAGGATGTGGAACAATGGCTTCAAACTACAGGACAGGAGATTCCACCTGAACATTAGGAAGAACTTACTGACTGTGAGAACTGTTCAGCAGTGGAACTCTCTACCATGAAGTGTGGTGGAGGCTCCTTCGATGGAGGCTTTTAAACAGAGGTTTGATGGCCATCTGTTGGTGGTGCTTTAAATGTGATTTTCCTGCTTCTTGGCAAGAGGTTGGACTGGATGACCCACGAGGTCTCTTCTAACTCTTTGATTCTATGATTCTATTATTTTATACAGATTGGAGAACCTTTGGTTGTTTCTTCCCACCAAATGAGCAAAAGTAGTTTGACCTGAGTAAAATACTCTATGCTATGAAAAAGCCATCTGCTACACAAACTAAACGTTGTGCTACTATATACAGAGAGGAATCACTGGGGGAAATCGAGTGCAAGATGCTGTGGAGTAAGCCCCAACAATAGGAACCTATAGAGTTTTACTCTTATTTAAAATAATATTTGAGAATACTTAAAAATTGTCGAAAACACTTTTTTTAGTATCAGGAAATCTTGACAGGTAAAAAACAAACCGACAGCTCTTTATAGTTCAGAGCTAATTGTGCTCAGAATTTGCACATATTTCCTGTGTGTGCAGAAAACAGAAATACTTAAAATTTTATTGTGTTTTTCTTATCTCAGAAAACAGAAGCAAACCCCTCTCTCCACACACTAGAATTTTATGCGGAATAAATACACACCCAGAAGATTTTCTGTGCATTAAATCGCATATTTCACTCAGAAAGTAATAATTATAATTATAATAATAATAAACTTTATTTGTTACACCACCACCATCTCCCCAATGGGGACTCGGAGTGGCTTACATGAGGCTAAGCCCAAATGTCAATTACAATAAAGAAAACCAAAAACACAAACTGAAAATGCGAACAATAAACAATAACATCATAATTAAATAAAACACACGAATACATAACAATATGAAAAATAAAAAAAATATGCACAGGCACAATAATGATGGGCAGGCAACATGTAGTAATCAAGAAGACAAACTGATTAAAACTAATTAAAAAGTTGGGCGAGATAAAAGAGGGAAGCAGGTAATTTACGAAGGAGGGCTCATTCCAGCGGGAGTTGTGGAAGCAAGCTTTCCCATGAGGGGGACGTATACTCCAATGACAGAATTCTGAGGCAGAGCAATCATGTGGGATTATATACCTATTCATCAAAGGTGCAGCGGAAGAGCCAGGTTTTAAGGTTCTTTTTGAAGACCTCTAGGGAAGGGGCTTTCCTAATTTCTCCAGGCAGTGAGTTCCAGAGTCGGGGAGCCACAGCGGAAAAGACTCTTTTAAATATTTTTTTTAAAAAAATCATAACTGAATTGTGTACAGAATAAGTCTCAAACTACAAAATAGTCTTTGAAATCTACAGTTACTGACCACTTTTTTTGCAGCAACAAGAAAATTGCTAAAATTATTCATTACTTCCTTCAGCAATTCAATTAGTGAAGGGTTGTATTTCTACTTTTACTATTTGTGTTGTTTTATCCTCTAAATTTGCCCACAAACCCAAAGTTACCCACAAACTAGCCTACTGAAGGTGAAAAACAGAGCTAATGAAAATGCCTCTAGAACATGGCTCTATAGCCCGAAAAAACCCACAAGAACCTAGAGCTAATGAACCTCATGAAAAAAATTAATGCTTTAGGTACCTACTCCTTCAATAACACATGACAAAACGGTGGACCTAAAGCAGCTTATTCCTTCCCTGCTGGGTTGCTAGTGAGAGTGAGTAATTTCTGCAGTGGCAAAAGGCATATTTTTCATACATTCTGAAGTGCTTGGAAAAATAATTCTATATAGAAATACACTCATGCTTTTTTGTACCAAACAGTCAGTATTTTGCATAAATCCAATTTTTTACACACCAAAAGTTTTGGATATTTTGAATGCTTTTCCATTCAAAAAGTATATCCTTTTGAACAAAAAGGCATAACTTTTGACCATAATTTTTGTGCAAAGACACTTATTTTACCTGCAAAATCACATATGGCTGTAGTGAAATGGTGTGTTTGTACGTGTCTGTGAGAAAGAGATACATATGGAAGGAGAGAAATATGTACAAAACTTGCTCACAAAGTTTTTCACATTCAAAATCACAAGTGTTTCCATTCAGAATAATTTCTCCAAACACTTTATTGAGTGAAAACTGGAAGTTCTATGATATTCTCTCATATCAGATTTACTGTGTATCAGGAACCTCTATACCTTTTGACCAGAAAATGAAAAATGGGAAACAGTATTTCTAACCTGCTAAACATTTCATGAAATTATAACCACTGTAGCTTTCATTTTCTGATAACTTATATAGAAAGTATGTATGGGTACATTATACCTATTGAATTGTCAGAGGAATCACAAACCTTATTTTCAGTAACATTGTAATTTGAGGAGTGTTAAGTTTCCACTTTCTTTAAATTGTTCAAGAAAGAAATCAAGCCATGGAAACTGTTAAATCTTGTCACAGTAAATAACCATGGGTGCATCTAATTATATTTGTAGTAAAGCCCCAAGTCTGATGAATTTAAATGGGTCTACTCTACCTATATATAGTATGTATCCAGACCTATAGATATTTATTCATTTTATGACATTAGCAACCTGCATATGTTCTACAAAATAGCCAGCTATACCAACTAAAAACATCAAGAAAAAGATTACAAAATGTAAGCAGACATTGTTAAAAGCACAATTGTCACATCTCATCTGAAAAGAGCAATGAACCGACGTCATTTTATGACCTAGAAAACCACTCTGCATGACCTATTATTAGGATCTGAAATCACAGATAACTTTTCTTTTTTTCATAAAAAACCCAGTTTTCTAAGAGTACCGTGATTTCCCCCCACTGCAGAGTAGGGGGAAATCACAGCAGTGTGCACTGAAGAGGTAGAAACTGAACAAGAAAGGTTAAACAAAGGGAGAGAAAAACCTAAACTTAACTGTGCTTTCAGATCTCAGGTGAGAAGTACCCACAGGTTGAAGATGGACAGATACCTGGGGAGATCAACGCAAACATCAAGCAACATAAATGACTTCTGGATCACTGAGGAAAGTCTAATAGGTTATCCCATTGATATTAAAAGTTTAGATTTCCAACAATCTGAAAACTGTGACATTGGGCTCCTCCTTGGCTTGACTTATTTTAGTTCAGTGGAATATTTAGAAATTGATGCATGTCTCCTTATTTAGAAATTGATACATGTCTCATTCAAAATCAGACCATTTATATCATCCTTATATAATTAGTTGAGATCCTAGACCAGGCCAATTGTTTCTATCTCCAAATCATTTGTAGATCCCAAGAAAAAGGTATCAGTTCGTGAACAATTTATAATGAAGTTGACCACATTTTGTGCTGTCTAAACCCCCCTAAAGCTTCCAAAAATTTCCACAATGTCATATAAAAGAAAGGGAGGGAATTTTGCACTTTTGAGGTTCCTTCACAAAACCCCTGAAAGGAAGATATAGATACATACTGTCGAGATCCAGACGCCTTTAAAGAGCCAGACACAGGGATAAGGTCCAAACAAAGTTTATTAAGACAACAAAAAGGGACACTTACTTCAGTGTCCCTGGACAAAACAAAAGGTTTCAAGCAATTTGCATGACAAAAACTTAAATTGGCAAATAATCCAGATTAAACCGGCATATAATCTGGGATAAACAAAAGGTTGAGCAAAACATTCCAAAGTCACAGAGTTCAAAGTATGCAAGTAAACAAGGTGGAAGAACACAAAGCCGTAGTCCAAAAACAGTCTGAAGTCAAAGATATTAGAGTCCAAAAAGCTGCGTCGTTGTCTAGGCAATCTGAAGTCAAAGAGAGGGGAAGACAGCACTTACGGGAATCCAAAGACAGTCAATACAAGGAGAAAGCAGCAACCTGTAGTTCCAAGATCCAACAAGAGAAATGGCAGCGACAAAGACCCAGACACAAATCCAACACTTTGCCTTCTGCAAAGTTCCATTACCACAGTGCCTACATTTATCTTACAACTCATTATCGCTTGATGAACTGTCCTCCACCCTCTCCTCATCATTGTCAGCTGCTTTAGCCTTTACAGCTGAGCACCAACACCCATCCCGCCAACTTTTCCATCTCTTATCAAGACTTAGGTCTCCCCATGTATCACCAGTTTGCCAATCCCCAGAAAACCCCTCAAAAGTATCGCTGGATGTAGGTTGTGTACACACATCTCTGACTTCTTGCACATGAGTCCAATCCAACCCATCTTCCTCCTTGTCACTACTCCCAGACCCATTACTTCCTGTGAAACCCATAAAATCCTCCTCTTCAGTAGGAGCAGTAAGTATATCATGGATGCATTTCCTCTGATACTCCTCGTCAGACTCTTGCTCATGAGTAGTCCTTTTTACACCTCTACTCCCATCTCCTTCCTCAGTTTTCAGTTTCTGAAAAGCCCTCAAAAGAGTCTTCATCTATAGGGGACATGAATATCTCCCTAATTCTCTTTCTTTGTTGTTCCTCATCCAAACTCTGAGCACCTCTCTTTCCACCTCTACTACTCCTATCCTCAGTTGTAACATTACTAGGAGACTCAACTACAGCATATACATAGCATTATGTATAAATAGATACATACATAGCATTACTAAGACCTAGACCCCTTCTACACTGCCATATAATTCAATTCAAAGCAGATAATCTGGATTTTATATGGCAGTGTAGAAGAGGCCTAAAACAGATTACAAAAAGATCTCCTTGTTTGTATTTACATATATAATAGCTATGCACTATTACCTTTCAGTTCACTATTACCCTATTATTTCAAGAAAATTCATCTAATCCTAGCATTGCTACACATTATATTTGCTACATATTTTATTTGCTAATGAAAATGGAGTGCTTTCACATAAAAAATAATAGGTCACTTTTGCTCAGCAACAAGATTGAAAAACTGGGCACTGTAAATATGGTACAGGAGTTTTACATTGTATGACTTTTTAAATAAACCATGGGAGCTAGCCTTTTGGAAAACTGACTAATCATGCTAAAGATATGAGTAATAATAAGCTGGCCAACTCATTTTGGCACATTGGTGGTCTTTTACTGAATACTGTAATTTAAACAGTGACGCGTATAGTCCACCTACACAAAAACATTCTCTGGAAAAATCTTCTATACAGATTTTAATATTTTTCTCCCTGCATTAAACATCCAGGTAACTTCATATCAGGTGGTTGACTGGTTGACTCTTGAAAGCTTTAGCTTTGTTTGTTGACATTTTCTTTTTCCCCCTGATGGTTAATGTTTCTTTACTTTTTTAGTTTGTATAACATTGTGCTTAAGGATATAGCATACATGGCATGTTTTCTATGAGACTATGGAGTTTTGATAAAGCACCAGAAAAAGTTGTTTCAAATTGGGAGGATATAATAATTAGTACTGAACAAAATAAAACAAGTTATTTTCTTGGCCCTTTTTTCTCTCTTAACGATAGCACAGCAGGATAGTAAGAATGCTTCAGCAATGAAATTTCTTAAATGCTATTCTCATCTTCTTAATAAGATGATTTTTCCCAAAAGCAAAGTCACTATTTGACTCACTGTTGGTTCTTCCCTAAAATTATTGCCTTCATTAACACCTCAAGGACTAGATAAGACCTCTGTGGAAATGCTGGGATCCTACATAGCATGGAAATTACTCAGAATACTTTTGTAATGAGGCCATCCACATTCCACAGTATTCGAAGAGAAATTTACCATGTCTCTCTGGCTCTTTGACCCTTGTAATACTGAATCCATGCACACACACAAACTCCCATTGACCAGTAGTTGGATCTTTTCAGCAGTCTCATAGATGTATACTCCTGTGATAAACTGAATCGGTTCTTGTTAAATTGCTGGGTTTTGAGGGATGAAAAAGAAAAGAAAAGCACATTCTACTTTGCAACAAGAATTATTGACAACTGGAAAATAGAGGGAGAAAATGTGGAGGCCGTGACAGACTTTGTATTTCTAGGTGCAAAGATTACTGCAGATGCAGACTGTGGCCAGGAAATCAGAAGACGCTTACTTCTTGGGGGGAGAGCAATGTCCAATCTCGATAAAATAGTAAAGAGTAGAGACATCAGACTGGCAACAAAGATCCGCCTAGTCAAAGCCATGGTATTCCCTGTAGTAACCTACGGATGTGAGAGCTGGACCTTAGGGAAGGCTGAGCGAAGGAAGATCGATGCTTTTGAACTGTGGTGCTGGAGGAAAGTTCTGAGAGTGCCTTGGACCGAGAAGATCCAACCAGTCCATCCTCCAGGAAATAAAGCCCGACTGCTCACTGGAGGGAAGAATAGTAGAGGCCAAAGTGAAGTACTTTGGCCACATCATGAGAGACAGGAAAGCTTAGAGAAGACAATGATGCTGGGGAAAGTAGAAGTTTTTTCTTGTGGGTTTTTTTTGGGGTGGTTGTTTTGTTTTTTTTTTTTTTTTTTTTTTGGGTTTTATTTATGTTGTTGGGTGTGTTTTTTTTTTTTTTTACGTTTTTTTTTTTTTTTGACCTGGGATGAAGTCTGTTGTGCACATACATGCACATAACAGACAGCAACAAGTGGGTGTGTGTGTTATCTTTTTGTAAAAAGGAAGAGGGGCCGACCAAGGGCAAGATGGATGGATGGCATCCTTGAAGTGACTGGACTGACCTTGAAGGAGCTGGGGGTGGTGACGGCCGACAGGGAGCTCTGGCGTGGGCTGGTCCATGAGGTCACGAAGAGTCGGAGACAACTGAACGAAGGAACAACAACACTTTGCAAAAAAAGAAAGAAAAAGATTCCATCTTCTTTTGTTTGCTTATGCTACTTTAGAGCTTCAAACTCTACTATTGGGTTTTGAAGCAGACCTCCCAAGAGTTAAGCAATTGTTTATGATGAAACTTTAGAATTTTTTAAAAGTATAGCTTAACTAATTAATGTTTCCATCTGCTGTGTAAAGACCTCAATGCCAGAGGGAATGCGAAAGTGGGGAACCCCAATGTAACACTTTGGGAATATTCATATCTTAGTAAGTATGTAATAATAGCTGTTATCAAAATAGACACATTAGGTGTGATACAAAAATACCTGGCTTAAGTTGTCAAGTACAAAGCCGCAAGCCAAACTGTAGTCATGCAGACAGGAAGCTATGTTAGTACCTAAAATGTTTGATATGAGCCCAATAATGTAATCTAGTATGGACCCCCCCCCCCCCATCATATCACTTAAGTAAATGTCAGTCGAAAAAATTCTTGACAGAAAATGCTGGAATTGTTATCAGTTATCCTCACTCACTGAAATGAAATGTTTACAAAAGAATCATAATGGATTGTGTCAACTTGTTCATGTAAAATCTTCATAGTTATATAGTTTAAGTGGAAAGCACTTACTGTTGGCCCAAAATTGCTGCAACTGACATGACTGATAATTCTACAGTTTTTCTAATGAAAAAGCACAATATAGAGATTTACCTTTCAGAAGTCATTAAAGTTTTTGTTCCAAGGTGCTCAAAAATAGTCCCAGTTGCTTTAAAAAAATTGAATTTGTAGATTCACTTAGGGTTGGCTATTTTGCTGAAACAAGAAATGGTCTCATACCAGATCTAGCCCTATATGGTTATGTGGTCAGGAGACCACTTTGAACTGCAGATATGAGTTGCCATGAAAGGGTAGCACTCTGATAGCTTTTTTTCTTTGCGGATACTGTATTTTTACTTCTGGGAATATGGACATGTTTATTCTGCTTTATGTACCAAAATAAGTTAATTAGCTTCTGTGTTTCTGTGTATAAGTGTGATGTTGTGGTTTGTAATCATGGTTACCATTTCATTCATTCATGTAGTGTTTTTGTTCCATTTGTTTCATTGTGATGGCACAAAATGGTTAAAACCCCCATGGTATGAAAATAATAGTGAAATGAAAATGAAAATAGCAATGGTAACCATGGGGTTGCCTGCTTTTCAGGCCACATAGTGCGGCCCAGGGAGTATTTCCATGTTGGTTTACCTCTGAGCCCAGTTGGACCAATCAGAGGAGAAGGACGTAGTGACATGGACATGCATTGCTCAGGGTATTTATTGGGGCAACTACCCCCAAATCACTCATTGCATGGCACGCATCAGTCGGTGCTGGAGTTTGCTCCTGTGCCTGCTTGCCTTGCTGCCAGCCAACAACTGATTTTTACCTTAGCTTGGCTGCTTGTGCTTGGCTGCTGGCATCTTTTTAATTTCTTTATTTTTATTTTTATTTAAAGGAACTGGGAGTTTTGAACGGGTGGGAGTGGATGCTACCCCTTGGAGCTGGCACGCAGATGGGGGGGGGGGCTTTGGGGAGAAGGGCATACCTTTGCTCGCTGCTCAGATTCTTTCGTCTCTTTCCTTAACTTTTCAAATATTTTAAAATCTTTGGGTAGCTCACAGAGCCTTGGTCAAGGTCACCTTAATTCTTTTTCTTCTCCCTTCCTTTCCTATCCCTAAAAAGCTTTGTGAAAGATATTAATTATAATGATATTACTGTAATAACAATTCAATTAAAAGGAAAACCCTCCAAAACCACTTTCTCCCCCCCCCCCCCAATACTATATTTGCATTCCTTACATCTACTTCTGATATATTTCTCTCTGTGGGTATTCTGCCTCCTAATATTTTTAAAAATAATTATTTTTCAAAGGAAAGTAATTGTTGATCTTCAGTGGAATGATTTCTCCACCTTTGAAAAGCACTATCTCTATCAAATCTTCAATCTCTCTCTATCTCTGTACCTGACTGGCCTTGTCCTGCCCTCACTGCATTTCCAGGAATAGTT